TTTTTTTTTTTTTTTTTTTATTTTTTTTTTTTTTTTTTTTTTTTGTTTCTTTTAATATTTTTTTTTTTTTATTTTTTTTTTTTTGAGTTTTTTTTTTTTTTTTTTTTTTTTTGGGTGTTTTTTTTTTTAGATTGAAAGTTGAGACTCAAAGGAAAGTCTCACGTGATCTTCAATAAATGTGTAGCCTTAAAACTCTGGATCTAAAAATGAATCGGAAAATTTTTGTCAAGATAAAGCAGTGAGTTCACCCTAGTTATTTCTTTGATAGATAAAGCAATGAGTTCTCCCTTGTTATTTCTTTGATAGATAAAACAATGAGTTCTCCCTCGGTATTTATTTATTTTTTTTGATAGATAAAACTATTAGTTCTCTCTTGGTATTTCTTAGATAGATAAAACAATGAGTTCTCCCTTGGTATTTCCTTAATACATAAACAATAAGTTCTCCCTTGTTATTCTTTGACAGATAAAACAATGAGTTCTCCCTTGTTATTTCTTTGACAGATATTTTACTTTATTTTGTTATGTTTATCTGTGTCTTTGTTCAAGGGCTGGGGATGTTCGGTTATACTTCTTATCACTTTATAGTGTATATAAATTCCCACAATGATTTTCCCTTCACAATGCATAACGATGTCGAGGCTGGTGTGATTACCCAGTTCATTATTCACATGTTTCAATAAATTAACACGGTACTGAATACCAAGCTCTATTTTTATACTCTCTACTGCTGCGGGTTTATTCAGGGGGCCGTCAATAAAGTACGTCACGCTCCAGAAAGGAGGGTGGGGGGTTAAGAAAGTATGGGGGTTTGTGACACGGTGGGGGCGGGTATAGATCATGTGTGAAGTCATTCATTTTATTTTTATTTTTATCATATATTAATAACCTGATATTGACAATGATGTTAAACTTTCTGTAGTGACAGATTTGTTCTGACAGATGATTTCACTTTTGTCAATTTATTAGTTTAACTTTAATGGTAAATGAGTTTTAGATTAAATTTTAGTGAGTTGTTAATTTTTTTTTTAGTTTGAAAGGGTGACATACATTAGGAGTGAACAACAACAAAAAGGAGGGGGGGGTGTGTTTGAGATTTTGAACAGATTGTGACAGGAGAAAGGTCATAGGAAACCTTTTTTTTTTCAAAATAACGTGACGTACTATATGGACGGTCCTCAAATTGTTGTTTAAAAGTTCCCCGACCTTCGATGTGTGTTCTTGTTAACGTATTCACCCTTAGATATCTACATTTTAGCTGTACATGCCAACCCCGTCTACTCTCTCTGGTGTGTCGACCCCGTCTATTCTCTCTGGTGTGTCGACCCCGTCTACTCTCTCTGGTGTGTCGACCCCGTCTATTCTCTCTGGTGTGTCGACCCCGTCTACTCTCTCTGGTGTGTCGACCCCGTCTATTCTCTCTGGTGTGTCGACCCCGTCTACTCTCTCTGGTGTGTCGACCCCATCTACTCTCTCTGGTGTGTCGACCCCGTCTATTCTCTCTGGTGTGTCGACCCCGTCTACTCTCTCTGGTGTGTCGACCCCGTCTACTCTCTCTGGTGTGTTGACCCCGTCTACTCTCTCTGATGTGTCGACCCCGTCTACTCTCTCTGTTGGTCGACTCCGTCTATTCTCTCTGGTGTGTCGACCCCGTCTATTCTCTCTGGTGTGTCGACCCCGTCTATTCTCTCTGGTGTGTCGACCCCCGTCTACTCTCTCTGATGTATCGACCCATCTACTCTCTCTGGTGTGTCGACCCCATTCACTCTCTGTGATGTGCCGACCCTAACTACTCTCTGTGGTGTGCCGACCCCGTCTACTCTGTGGAGTGAGTTGACCCTGTTGAGTGTTATCAAATCTTGACTTTTATAAGTAGTAATCATGGCTGAATCTCGGTAACCATGGCTGAATCTCCTTCCTGGTTTGTTTGCCTTTCATCTAGCATTGTGTTATCCTTGGTTATCCTAGCTAGGCTGTTTGGTTATATCAGGTCCTGCTAACCCCAATCCTAGCTGGACGGCATATTTTCAAATCAATTTTAACCCTCTTACTATCACGGAAATGTGAGGCCATCCCAACGATCTGAGATTCTGTTTCTAACTTATCGTCATGGGTTAAATTTGGGTTTGATTGAATTTATTTTACCTAATCATTGGTCAAATCTAATATTAATTGAATATTCATGGTGACCCCGCCCAGTTGTCAGTCACGTGGTTCTACCAAACCCAAACCTCTAGTAACATTCTGCGCGTAATCAAGGGTGGCAGTGCGTATTATTACTTCAGGTGTTCAGTAGCGCCCCCACCCCCCACCAAAGCCCTTCCCTCAGCATCTGTTTACTGTGTAAGATAAATACAACCATGTAATCTCCGTCCATTACCTGCCCGATGTAAGATTATGTGTCATGTGACCTCACATTCCTTGTTCCTTCATTTCACCCATGCGTTGTGATTCTAACATTACAAAAAGATTGAATGATTTTTTTAATTTCTTTATTTCATTTTGTAGTGTTTTAGTGATAAATACAGCGGTTGTCAACCTGTGGGTCGCGTCCCTTTGGGGGGTGGGGGGGTCGAACGACCCTAACACAGTGTTCCCCATACAACCATTGGAAAACACATATTTATGAAGTACCATCGAAAATAATTTTATAGTTTGGGGGTCACCACAACAAAAGGAACTGTATTAAAGGGTCGCGGCATTAGGAAGGTTGAGAACCACTGAGCTAATAGGTCTACCTCCTTGTTTCAATGTTATATGAATAATCTTACTTGAACTTAACTGTCAAACAATCTCATCTGCACTAATTTTTGACAAATCTTATGTT